CACCATGAGTCTTATCCACTCACATAGATCATTTGTGCACTCTTTAAGCTAATTAGACGGGACCTACAATGTTAATTCCAACCACTCACAAAGTAATCATTCCCTCTAGGATTGAACCTGCAAGCCTGTGGTACCAAAGGACAGAGATCTAGCCAATTGCATCCTCAGGGCAGGGCTGTCCTGAAAGCTACTCACTGCCACTGGGCCACAAATCCAGCGCAGAGATCAGAGAATCAACCACCACCCAAGTGCATCATTTTCTCCTTCCTTAATTTTTCACTTCTTTTTCTTTAATTTGTTTCACCTATCAATATTTTCATCATTATATAATGTAGGGTAAAAATACAATTAAAACTTTAATATTTTCTATCGGAAATATACCTTTATTGATATCTAAAAATTTTTATTTCATTTTATTTAGCAATAAAATATTTAAGAGCAAAAATTTATATATGCATCGCAAATAGGAATTTTTCTAAATAATAGTTAAATAAAATGTTAATTTAATCATTTTTTTTTTTTACAACCATTACAGTATTTTTGACATCTCCTTTTCATTGCCACCAGTGTTAAATTTTACCGCGTGACTGAATTTGAAAGATGCAATTCAATTTTTTAATGGTTTCCATCTGGTTGATCCGTCTCTCTCATTCTAAAATAATTTAGCAAATTTTTATTAAAATTTATTATTATTTATTTAGAATATTTTTAAATATATGATAATAATAAATTTTAATTAAACTTGCGAAATATTTATTTTCTAACCAATGAGAAAAGTTGGTTTGTACACCTATTTTTACCGACTGTTAGCATGTATATTTACATAAAAACGAATCATTTCTTTTTTTTTTTTTTTTGAACAGACAGAATAATTATTCAGGTCTTTTGTACAGCATAGCACATATTCTTTAGCATTCTTTGATTTTTGAAGAGTTTAGCAGTAAAAATCAAGAGGTTTATTATATTGAGATAATGTGTAAAAAAAATAATAACAAAATGAAAATGATATAAAATTATAATGCGCTAAGGGATGAACAAACGTAGGAATTCTAAATATAAGGAAATTTTTAAGAAAAACTGTTTATTTTAAAAGAAATCGGGACAAATCGATATAGTCCCTACTTTTAAAAATGGCTGGAAAATACTGGCAATTAACTGATAACTGGAGTGACGGCTAGACGAGGAGCAACTTGACCTGCCTGAGCAAGGAGTCAATATATAGGAAAGGCCGACATTCATTATTACAAAACAAGTAAAATTGTAATTCTGTGCCAATACTTTAAGGATTACTAAAGAGGATAAATTAAAAAAAAATGTGTATCCAAGATTTTGATAATTCATATGTTGTTGTTGTTCTTCTAATGCAGCTGGCAATACAGAAGACAGTTAATCTTTTATGCCATCATGAGGCCCACCGCTACTCACTTCAATTTGCAATACCTTGAAGTGCTACGAACATTTTTGCCCACAGCGCTCTACGATGCTATTAAGGGACCTACGGTTTAAAAGTGGATTCCGAAGCTTACATCCGTAGCGCCGCCGAGACTCGGGGCCTGGCGAGGCACCGTGCCAGGCGCTGGCACTCGCCATCAGGCCCAAGAAACTCATATGTATGAGAAAAGTATTACATCTGTTGTGGTAATGTGGAAACAGTTACGCAGGTAATCCCAATGCTAGGTACCCCGTTCGGTTCTTGAAGTACTTAAATAATAAAAAGTCCGCGCCCGAAGAGGAACTGTTATCCATGCCACTGGGACATTTTTAAATTCACTTGATATGGAATTCCCATGATTCTGCACAAATTCAGCTGGTGCTTTCCACTAAAGGATCACAAAGCGACGGTTTGCACCTTATGAAATCGCTGATATGATATGATACTGATATGATATAATGAATATATGAGAGGCGATGTAATGTGCGGGTATTCTGGCTAGCCGAGAGAATTCTCATTTTTAGTTGATGCGAGTTAATTAGCCGATTGTGGAAATTAGAAAATAGCATATCTAGTAATGGAAAATATATTGGTGAGTGAAAAACGAAAAGAAAGATGTGAAGAAAAAAAAATAAGAAATTGCCACTGGCGATCGATACTTTGGAAGGAAGAAACAAACGAACAGTGCGGCGGAAATGAAGAAGCTAGCCAACCAAAGTGATAACTGCAGCCCTGTACTAGCGATAAACATAATCAAACTAAAGTGAAGCAGCTGAAGTCAACTTGGAAAAAAATTACATTCGTCATACGTTATAAGCGTCGCTTTTAGAGTACTAAACGATGAGGCCTATGGGGACCCTGAATGGCCGAGGATAAGCGCTCTGGCGCTCGGTACAGGTTTCGGGTACGAGTCCCAACGTGCAAATGGTTGGATAATAGTGGTTCGGAATCCACTTTCCGTAATAGGTCCCGGTCTAATAGGATCGTGTGTGTAGAAACTATTGTTACTCGATATCTTCAAGCACGCACTGTGGAGTAGTGCTAAGTGGCACATTGTAACGCTTCTGCATTAAGGTATCGAACAACTGTCTAAATGATTTTCCAACTGAATTAGAGACAAAAAAAATGATCATATCTGCCAGTAAGCAATTTGTGAACAGTTTTTGGCTACATGGGGCTGTTCCAAAGAAGGAATGATCAAATGAAGCAGTTTGTGATCGAAAATAATTGCAAATTTATGTAGTGACTCTCGTAGTTTGTCTTGATCTGTTTTCGAAGATTCAAGAAGATTCATAATGGTAGCGCGTATAAATGGAGCTAAATTGCAAAGTTAAAGCATGAAGAAAAAGATGCAATGTAATTTAAATGATTAATAACTACTTTTGTCTTTTTTGGGATTAGCTTTAATTTAGTCTGAATTTTTTCACAGCTCTCAAATTCAAATTAGTCCATTCTTACCATCTACTTTATTTGCACGAGACTATAGATGAATACAGAAATTTCGAAAGGCAAATGTCCAATTTGTGCTTCTGTAATCTGATGTGCGAGTATTGATGTTGAATTTAAGTAATCCCTTGACCGGGATTAAAGAATGATTTGTAAAATCTATGTTAAATCTGTATTTATTATGTATAAATATCATCTTATTCTAGTTTAACCTTGTTCCTCATCAAGATTTAGTTCTGGTTTTAGTCATTGGACCTCATCAGCTAGTTCTGTGGATCTCTTGAGGATCATCAAGATCTGGTTTAGTCTTCATCATACGTTGGTTTTTGATTTAGTCTCGGTCCTCATGATGGTTTGATTTTGATTTAGTTTCCATTCACCATCAGGTTTAGTCTTGGTCATCATGTTGGTTTGGTCTGATTTGGTCATAGATCCTTATTTTGGCAATTTATTTTGAAACTCCGTGTAATGGAACTTATGTTGATCCTATTAGAGCAGTGGTTAATCTCTCCGATCATTTGAATAGATGTAAGATTAATAGACTTTATACTAAAGTCTATTATTTTTCAAATAAGTGACTCACCTTTCACTTTTATATAATGCCCAAACCTTAGTAGTAGTAGTAGTACAGGTGGCTATCAAAATAATAAAAACACCCGTGAATAAAAGTGATTTTTAAGAATACACTTTGTAAGCATTAAATGTTATCTTAGCTACTATTTTATTTTAATATAGAAAGTATATCATGACAGTATGGGAGCTGGCTAAGTGTATTTGGTATGTTTTTGGATTTTTGTCAAAAGTATAAAATGGCAGACCTCGCAGACTTTCAAAAGGGGAAGACCGTTGTATGTTTGGTTTGTTTGTCGCTCTGCGGTCAACTTGTGCACACGAGGGCTAAACAGACCGGAACCTACGGTTTAAAGAGTTCGAACCACTCGCAACCATGCCACTGCCAGGATTCCCTGGGCCTGCAGTACCAGAGCGCTACCTAATTGGTCATCGAGCCGCCCAAATTGTAGGAACCTGTTCAATCATGGTTTGATGAACACGAGGATGAAGTGGGACATCTTTCTCCGTACAGTCCTCGACCTCAATATCTTTTAATCTTTATGATCTATTTTAGAGCCATCAATCAGGAATCCCAAATTCCTCCACCGGCATCTCTCCGGAACTTTCTACAATATCTCCATGAAGAATGGTTCCAATATTCCTCTATACACTATTCGGCACATTAGTAAAAGATTTCTTATAACTTTAGGGTGTTTCCATTATTTTGATAACCACCTGAAGTGGTAGTATCAGTTTCAGTTATCAATGTTAAATAGTGCTAACCTTAACTTTGCAAACACTTGACAGAAGACATTTTCAGCATGCAGGATACCATAATTTGCTGGATGAGTCAGATGCACATGTCTCTCGGCAATGATAATTCTCACGAAATTCTGTTTTCCGATTACATTATCATTAGAATGTTTCAGGGTTTTCCCCCTGTAAGATGTTTTATCCGCAAAACATCCACTTATTTATTCGAAAGAATTTTTTTTTTTTTTTTTTTTTTTTTTTATAAAGTAGGTTATATTTCCATTTAATTATACTTCGTTTCACTCGCCAAAATGATTCATATTACATTATTCAAAAAAAAAAACAAAAAAAAAAAACGTTGTAACAGTAAATTGTAAAATTGTTTCTAAACATCTTAGCGCCATATATATAGAGATATAAATGATTATATTATTAAATTTTTACTTTAATAAATAAAATATATTTTTATATTTCCTATCAAATACGTAATGTTAAGAGCATCAAATACAAAAATGTTTCTTATTATTAAGTTAGCATATCATAATGTCCTATTATATAATATATATCCAATTAAAAATTTAAATATAAAAATGAACAATCTAAAAACTCACATAACTTTATTTATTCAGTATAATTACGCAATAATAGAATGGAAGAGGGTCTAAATATACCCTTGAAGATGAAAGAACTTTGACATCCGCTATTTTAAATGAATTTTTTTATTACGATTATAATGAGTTATCATAATCGATGTTGTACATGAAAGTAAGTAAAAAATCATCCAATCAGATTTATATTGTTTCAGAATTAGTAAGCCAACGGCCATGCCATGCTGAATATACCGGTTCTCGTTAGATCACCGAAGTCAAGCATCATTGGGCGCGGTAAGTAAAAGTGCTGGGTGGGTGACCACCTGGGAAACCACATGCCGTTGGCATTCTCAAATTTGGGACCTGAATGGCCGAGTGTCTGGCGCTCGGTGCCACAGGTTTTCGTGTTCAAACCCCGGCGGTGCCATGGATGTTTGTAGTGGTTCGGAATCCACTTTAAGCCATAGATCCCGGCCTCCTATGACTGTAAGAGCGTCACGGTGCCAAAGTCAGACTTCTACCTACGGGTGCTACATCACAACAGAAGCTGCTTCCTTCCCCTTCAATCATGAGTACGTATGGTCTCGTGGTCTTGGCCACCCAAGTGGGATAAAAGAAACAACAACAACAGATTAGTACTTATAATAGTTGAAAACTGGGGCTAACCCCTAGTTCCATTGGGCTTCCGAAGACAGGGTGTTTGATTTGAAATTCGATTACTCATGCTATGCAACAACAACAACAAAAAAAAAACTTTCGTGTCAATTCTTGAAATCGGAAAGGAAAAATCTGTGGGTCATAAATCTCTTCCATTGTGCTCGAAAAGGAGGGTTCGTATTTTCAATTTGACATTTTTAAAAGATTCACATTCAAAAACTGTGTATGCTAGCAGTATGGCAGGCCCTATGCTGCACCTTGGGTAACGTTGAATTTGCTATATATTTTACATTCTAGTGACGAATGGTTTCAGGACAGAGATTATCATTATAGTAACGTAATGGAAAACAAAGCTCAGATTGATTAATTTTTAGGGACACATTATACAATTTGCTTTCTTTTACACACATTAAACACTTATCCCCCCCTCCCCATCACTGTCATCTTTAATAGAGTTTTTGCATACCGTATTTTTATCGTCCGTTAGCTTTTTTCTCCCTAGCGCTCATGCTCATAGGAAATTGCTCATGCGTATCTGTAATAATGTTTTCCTATGAGCATGCGCTAGGGAAAAAGCTAACTGTCTGAATGCAAAAACTCTACAATGTGACGTTATTTTCACGTTAATATATTTTAAAGAGGATTTTTATTTAAACACCTCAAGGATGATTTTTTTTATATATATAATGAGGAAAAAATGACATTTATTTATTTATTTTTTTTTAATATTGATAAAAAGGAGGGGGTGGGTCAGGGGAACATAAAAATGCACGTAAAACCATAGCGTTCACATTTGGGGCAGCTGGGCATTAATAATAACGTTATTATTTTTATCCACTTCATCGACAGCAACATCTAGACCAAGTCCATGAACCCTTGTGGGTCTCATAGGAGGCAAAGTGTGGGAGGGGCAGCTTTTATTGTGTTGAAGCACCCGCAGATAGAAGTCTGGCTTGTTTTTGACGGTGAAGAAGGAAGGCTATGACTTCTAGGAGTACTTTTAGGGAAACTGCTTCGCATTTGAGTATCGTGGAAAACCCGGAAAAATTCCACCTGGTAGTCCGACTGACGAGGTAAAATGTCGTCGTTTTCCTCGTTTTTTAAAAAGAATGTCTACAACAATGCTGCCAGCTGATTGAATCCCAACCGTAATGCTCACCAGTGGCGCATGTTGCCACTGAGCCACGAAATGGGTATTAATAGTAATTTATAATTGAAATGGTTGTATTCGTTACGGGCATAAATTATTCATTACTATTTCGTGCATTATTTATTAAGCTTAATATGTTTAGTATATCAGGTATTATTTTTATGAAATATTAATGATTTTCAAATAATTCAGCAATAACAATGACAGTCCAATACGCTATTTTCATTTTATTAACTGTACACTTTAAATGCCATTATCAGTGCAACCAGGCCATAAGATTTGTATTTCTCTTGTTGAGAGGGCCCTCTTGGCCGAGTGGCTAGCGCTCTGGCCCTCAGTGCCACAGGTTTCATTCGTGCCATGGATGTTTGTGAATGGTTCGGAATCCACTTTAAACTGTAGGTCTCGGTCTGTTTAGCCTAAAGTGTGCACAAGATGACCGTAGAGCGACCAAAAACCAAACCAAACTTGTTGAGAGATTCTGTACGAATAAATTATCAAGTATTTTTTTGTTCTTTTTTATTAATGATTAGCTTTTTATAATTGTAATTAGTAATGTCTACATATGTAGTCAAGGGCATCAAGAGGTTAAAATAGCCTATGGTTCTTACATAGGCTGTATCCCTAGGTACGCGTCAAATTTTAAAGCTCCATTCTCAAAACAACGACTTTGACAAAGGGTCGGGGGATAAATAAAAAAAAACAGAATTTCAATTGAATAACTTATTATCAAATTTTTGTTATTTTTATTAATGATATTAAGTATTCTTATTGGTTGTCTGGCAACAGCGTGATGGCCAAGTGACTAGCGCCCTGGCCTTTGGTATCCAAGTCTTCAGGTTCGAATCTGGCTGTGTCATAGATATTTGTGAGTGGTTCGGGATCCACTTTAAACTGTAGTTTCCGGTCTGTTTAGCCCTCCTGTGTACAAGATGGCCCTAGAGCGACAAACCAACCCAAATGTTGATTGGCGCAATTGGCCATCTGCCTACTGATAGGACTCCGAATTCTGAAACAGGAGATGTTTTTCTTTTTACAGGGTAGAGTTGTCAACCCTACGCCCAACGCTCTACAATCATATTTGACGAGGACCTACGGTTTAAAATGGTTTCCGAACCACTACGAACACCCGCCGGGACTCGAACCGAAACCCGTGCCACCGAACTTAAGAGCACTAGTTCTTCATGAAATTTTGTCATTTTCATTTTTGGCTCAACATTTTTCATTGGCTCAACAGCCTATAGGGGGGCCAAAGCCATCTGCCTAGGGGATTTCGAGACAAAGTTTTCCATCTGCCTACTGACAGATTGATTGTAGAGGACGGTGCTTAAATACTGTAACTAACTTGACAGGAGATATTTTTTGATGACAGATTTCGAGACAGGAGATATTTTTTTAATAATATTGTTAGCCCTAAGCCAAACCTTTAAAGTCATATTAACGCTTTAAAGTTATATTAAAGTCATATTAGGACCTATAGTTTAAAGTGGATTCCGAACCACTACAAGCATTCATGGCGCCACAGGGATCCGAACCCGAAACCTGTGGGGCCGAGCGCCGAGACTGAGTTAATGAGCCATCAACCCCCCTCGTGTTTCCATATATATTCCCTTAACATGTTGTATTTTTTTTTTTTTTGTGGCAAAATGATGAAAAACGTATAAGTAAAAAAAAAGACCAAAAAATATTTACACTAGTTTACGTAAAAACAGAGCATTCAACTCAAAAAAAAAATGAAGCCAAACACAAAAACAAAAAGTTATTTAAGTAAATTACTCCCTGTTTGCAACAATTCTAATCAGGCAACAATAGTAATTGTAATTATAGAGAAAAACTAAATGTTCACATACGGGGCCAAAGGCGTCAAGAGGTTAAAATTCGCTTTAAAATTAATATATACATCTTTTTTGAAATATACATTTACAACAAAGATAAAATGATTTTTTCAGCTATTTGTATTTTTTATTGTTCAAGACAATTAAATGCCTAAAATTTTACACTAACAGTTAATTTAATTTTTAATAAAAATAATAAATCATTTCATCATTTTTGGAAAAAAAAAAGACATAGTAAAGCTTAAACTGTTGTTTAAAAAGAGTTCCTCCTATATTCCTTGGACACGATTTTATGTCTTTTGTTACCGTATTCTTTCTCCTCTGTTTGACAAATTTATGGTCGACAACTGCTCTCTTTTTATCTTCCAGAAGAAGCGAGAGGGTGCGTGATGCGAAATATTTTTGTTATCAGATCGTAAATTATGCAGAGAAGAAAATAAGGCGATTCTTGAACGATGCTTCCTTATTTATATTTTAAATTTCATTTAGGAAGAAAATAAAACCATTTAATAAGGTAAAAGCAGATTGAATCCAGAAACATTTATTCTTTAACATATACGTAAAACAACAGTATTGTAATATCTACAGAATTGATGAATCAAATTAAAAAAAGGCAAACAAAAGCCTTTTTTTTTTTTTTTTATCTAATTCTAAAAAAAAAGACCTTTTTTACTAAGATTTTTTACCCAATCTATCAACAGATTGTAAGCGACCTGATAACTTATATTGGAAAAATAAATTTAAAATAGAAGTTTTCTTGATAGTTTGGTGTTAACAGGTTTATGCAAAAATTCATCTGAATGTCAAGCTATCATTGATACGAATAATATGCTCAATTCAATTGAAGGACGCGATTGACCCTCACAATGAATGTCTTTTGGAACATTATACAATTAAAAGCTTTAAAAATAAAATCTTATAACTATCAAAATATCAAAAACTAGGCTTAATTATAATGGTAAAAATTGCAAGTGAAATGATATGTAGGAACGCCATAAAATCCTTTATGAACGAAAATCGTTTTGTTTGAACTCATTTAGGCTCAAGAGAAAGAGAAAATGACGGAAAAGCCGGAAATGCAGGCCGGAACTTGTATTTTACTTCCGGTCAGTTCGGTTAGCGTAAAATGATATTGAAGAATTATCCGCTTCTTTACAAAGACTGTTCATTTCACGATGTTAAGTTTAAGAGAACAAATAATAATTCACTTTGATTTTGTTGAAAAAGTTCATTTTTTTTTTTCTTCTCTCCAAGTTTTTGTGTAAATGTTTTAAGTTCATTTTGTGGTTTATATACAGCATTCCCTCCTTTCCCCAGGTTAATTAAAATTAATTAATTAGTTCTGATTAATTAAATTATTAATTCTAATTTATGCCAATTAAGTAATAAAACTAATCAGAAAAAATGAATTATTCCCAGTTCATGGGTTTCCCTGATTCCCTTGCTTACTGCTGGCCAAGTGGCTAGTGCTCTGGCCTTTGGTATCCCAGGCTTCAGGTTCGAATCCTGGCGGTGGCATGGATGTTTGTAAGTGGTTCGGATTACATTACTCATTGCAATGCATAATCTAACAACAACTATTGCTTCTTTGTGCAATTGTAAAATTAAATTTGATTTTGCGAATTTTACAAATTTATTCTTGGAGCGCATATTTACTAATGCCCTTGAAAGCCAACAAATTTGAGGCACTTGTGACAGAGT